TTATACCCCCTTAAAAGAAACTCAACGGGCTTAATATGGTCATGTTGGTCGGTGCTAATAATGGCCATGTCGGACAGGACGATCAGCCGCAGCTGCTATGTGTGACGACAACATGTAAGGCGGCTAAATGTCGACTAGAGAGTTTGTGGTGGTTGCTGTAACGCTCTACTTTGATTTTAAAGAAATCTCGGACTTTCTAAAAATCAAGTACAACATTTTTCGAACTCATTTCGAATTTCATGATTAAACAACAATTTACAAAAAATTCAACTCTTATCTGGATTCACGGGGATTCATTACCCGGTTTTTCTCAAGGTTTTCATTAACCCGATCCACATCATAACTCATAATATTCAGCATAGTAACACGTATAATCGAAACCTCATAATCCAAACATCATAAATATTTCAAAACCATCCAATCAAAAACATAAGTTTCGAAAAGGTTTTTCAACATGTCCATACATAAACCAAACGGAAGCAATAAATCAAACACATGACCAGACCCACTCGTCCCTTTGCTCGTCATGCTCGCCTACCTGCCTTAACCTGCAACCGTGAAGAAGCAGGTGGGGATGAGCACAAATGGAACCCGTAGTGCTCACCACTATGCAATAAACGATAATCATAAGATAAGGCAATAATCGTAAGATAAGACATGTATGGTCGCAGCATGTATACAAATCCCAGAGTTCTTACTCGTGTGCACACCTAACCATAGACTACTGAATGGCCTTACAACGAATGCCCCTCAATGTGGCCTTACATCGAATCCCATACTAGTAGGTGTAAATGTTGAATGCCCCTCAATGTGGCTTTACAACGATACCGTACCGAATGCCCATCAATATGGTCTTATAACGATACCATACCGGATGCCCATCAACGTGGCCTTACAACGATATGAGAAGACTGCCTATACAAGACACAACCTCGTAGTCGGGGATAACCGTTCGACGACCGATACAGCTCACATCGAAGGCTACTTGGTTCACATGCATACATTGATCATACCAACATATTAATCATTTATGGCATAGAAATTTTGAATAACCCACCTAGTCGAAAGCGAAGGAAAGCACAAACAATAACGGGGGTAGGCGGTGAGCTCTGCTTGTCAAGCACCTACAACAAGTCAAGATACTACACTCAATATCTTATCTTGACCTTAGAAGAAAAACACAAATCATACTTGGTCGAACTTGATTCAACCAAGTCGTTCGTGAAGTCCTCTGGATATTGGAAACTCTAGGACTTAGACTTGAACAACCACTTATAGCAGTTCACACAATTTCAAATATGATATATGGTACTATACTACACCCGGTTTAATGGAGAAAACGAATATATATTGGAAGATAAACCCACGTATGGACTAAGCATCACGATATGACAGGGATGAAAACGGACGTGAACGGGCGGGAAAACCCCCTAAACTGTTTCCATTCCCACATGTTTTGACCGGGAACGGGAACGGGAACGGGAAAGAACGGGAACGGGAACGGATGCAGGACATCCCGGTATACGGAAACAAACTAATACGAACGGATATAATACCGGTAGCGGACGGTAACGGGCAATTAAAGGCGGTATGACGATGACAAAAAACCACAATCATAAGTCCATAATTGACACAAAAATAAATTTAAACACAAGTCCAACAGTCGGTAGATCACAAGTTCACAGCAAGTTCATACTCCAGAATACCAGAACCAGTCCACAAATTCACGACACGACATAGATAGCAACATAAATCTTAAACACTTAAGTCTTAATGATGATATTGGACCACACGTCCACTGTCCACACTAGACACCACACAATGGCACAAGTTCACAGCTCATCTTCTTCATTCATCAACTCTGGATCACTTTCCATTCCTTCCATATCCTATAATTTTAAAGATTGTTGCAACTTGTAAGTCAGTAGTGTTTGGAGGTCAAATGCTTTGATCTGAATTTTTGGACATTTCAAGTGTTGCTTTGATTTGGAACTGCCAGTAGAAGTAGATACATTAACATACCTGATCCTCATCATGCAGCGGGTTATCAGGAGAGAGAGAAATGATCTATGGAGGTTCTAGATCAACCACAATTGAAGGAATATACCTGGGATCTGAAAAACAAACGAGAGACAAATCAGTAAAGAAAACAGTTCATGTACCATTTTAACTTGCAAAGTAGTTAAATAGCCACCTTTTCTTGCTGCTCGTATCCAATCTTTTAAGCAGATCAATGCTTGTACCATCTCAGGATCAAGACGACTACGGTAAGGATCAATGACTCGTCCAGCAGCACCAAACGCAGACTCAAAAGCAACTGTTGACACTTGTATGGCCATCATATCACGAGCAATTTGTGAAAGAACAAGGTACTTCTATGTATTGATCTTCAATATGCTAAAATATCAAAAGGGTGTTGCTTCAAAAGTGGCTCTGCCAGATATCTATCCAATTCATTTAACTCGACTCTATCAGTCCCACAATCATCATATAGGAAGCTTTCAGTTCAGCATCTAGATTTTCCCTTAAAGGATCTGCTGCTATGCTACTACTACCATTCACAGTACTCTTAGTGTTTGAGGATGTAGCAGTTTTAGTAGCATAAAACTGATACAATTTCTTTATGACAGTAAGCAACTCATCAAGTTGAGGTTGATAGTAATCACCATAGAACTTTCTCATGTAGAATTCTATAAGCTTCTTCTTGTATCTAGGTTCAAGAAAGGATGCCACAGCTAGACTAGTACTAGAATTAGTCCAATATTTCTCAAACTTTTCATGCATAGAAATTGCCATCTCCCGAATAGTGAAATCGTCACAAACACACCATTTATCAAGAATTTCTTTTATCTCACAAAAACCTCTATAAAACAAGTTTGCAGTTGGATATGAAGTACCAGATAGAAGTTCAGTAAGATCATAGAAATTTTTCAAGCAATGACAAATTTTTGTAGCCATCTCCCATTTAGCCTCAGATGGAGAAATGTTAGCATACTTACGGCGATTTGAGGACTTCAGCCTAATGAAAGCTGGCTTGTAGTGTAAGGCATCATATAGCATGAGGTACGTTGAATTCCACCTAGTTGAAACATCAAGTGAAATACCTTTGTTTGTATCCAACCCACACTCAGCAGCACGCTTCATTAATTCTTCCCATTGCAATGGAGAGCCCTTTACAACTAGCACAAGTGCCTTAATCTTCTCAATTGTTTTTGAGATAACACTCAAACCATCTCTAGCAACCAAATTGAGTATGTGACAAGCACATCTAACATGAAAGAAAATATCTTCACAAACCAGACAAGCATTGGCATTCTCCTTAAGATCATCAATTATCTCTTCGACTGCCACTTTATTGCTACTAGCATTGTCCAATGTCAAAGAAAACAATCTCTTCTCAACGAACCAGCTAACCATGACTTCAGTAAAGGTCTCTGCCAACTTATGACCAGTATGGCGTCCTTCTACATGAAATAAACTGAGAATTCTCTTTTGAATTTTCCAATCATCATCTATCCAATGAATTGTGATAGACATATATGACTTGTTCTGACAAGATGTCCACATATCCATGGTTGCACTAAAGCGGCAGCGAACTGTTTTAAAATATGCATACAACTTTTCCTTTTCTTCCAAATATATATCCATTATTTCTTTTCTAGTGGTGACACGAGACTTCAAAGGAAAGCTAGGGCGCAAAGACTTGATAAAGTCAACAAAGTAATCATGCTCAACAATATTGAAAGGGTACTCATGCATGATTATTGCTAAGTGCAGCTTCCTGACACTAGCCTCCGAATCATACCTGTAAGGCTGAATCAACGTGATGTCTTTTCCATGATCCTTTTCTGCCTTCAATAGCAACTGCCCTTTTACAACATGATGTGTTGTTTTCATATGGTTCCGAAAACCAGTTGTTCCATAGTTACACTCAGCTCTATATTTGGCCTTGCAATTAGGGTAGTTGCAGTACCCCCACTTCTGTTCATACTTCTTGCCATCCATCTCTACTATCTCAGTTTTCTTGGTAAAGTACTCCCAAACAAAAGATGTCAATTTCTTCGGCTTCCTTCTGTCACCCCCAGTCAACTCTCCAGACTCATCCTCGTCCCCGTCATCATCCTCCTCAACCTCAATAACAGCATCATTTGTAGTTGCATTATCTGGGCCACGAGATTGTATGCCATTACCATCAATACCTGCCACATGTCCCTGTTCATGTGTTCTTGTGCCGGAACCACTGCCAACCATTTGATTTGCATCATACTAGCAGGTTGAGATGAACTGGAAGGTCGTGAAGAAGATCCTGACACACCAGCAGCCTGAGTAGCACTTTCACTTTGCTTTCTCTTGGTTCTTGACAAAGGAAAACAACAAGAGGAAACTTAATAAGCTACTGCAAGTCAGCAAGTCTGCTGCTCTTGAAGCTGATTCAAAAATCATGTGCTCAACTACCTAGTAGCTCCTAATCCTAATAAGTAATAACGTGTTGTGCTAGTGCTAGTGCAAAACTGATCTACTACTCTTTACTCTCTACTGATGGAGTGACGTCGTGACAGGTACCTGAAATGGAACCGCTGGTGCTGCCTTTCCCAGAAGAAGCCGCCGGCGGCATTGCCTCTAGCAAGCAACCCAAAGAAATGCTCCTCTGCTGCCGTGGCCTAGCCTTAGGAGTGCAACGACCTGCACCTACTTTGGTGCGTGGCATTGCGACACTAGTAGAAAAAACACTTTTAAGAACAGGTATATTTATATTGTAGAAAATGGAGAAATTATTGTAGTAAACAGTTTATGATTGATATTTTCATTGATATATAGTCACTATTGGATGGACGTGTTAGCTAAAACTCCACCCTACACTATATATATATATTCTTTGGACTTCTGGAGATGAGATAATTCATATTTCAATCCCTTTGATTTTTTCATGATTTTGTCTACAGCAAAATTAACATACAACTCTTTTCTTCAAAACTTATAGGGCCTCATTTCTTCTCTTTCGTTTTCTCAATTTCCAACAAAACTTAAAGGGCCTCAAGCTGAAAATAAAACTCTGATATTTACACAATATCAGCATGCTTAAATCATCAAAGCAGTGTCCAACAATTAAGGCTAAAAAATGGCACAAACACATCACATAAACCTTTCTCTTTTCTTCAATTTTTTTCTCAATCACATAGCAACACATATAATGCCATAAAAACTGTTCATATCACCTCTGAACAGAGTATATAAGTTGCACGAAACTCTCGAAAGTGCAGTTCAAAAACATATATTAAATTTGGATGACGAAGGGTACCTGTTTCTTCAAGTCGAAACTCCAATCCGAACCGGTGATTACAAAAGGACTTTTACTCCTCTAACCGGTGAGAGACTACGAGTATGTTTCTTCTCGGGATCCCTCTAAAGCCTATCCAGCCAGATTTCTCAAAATTCGTGGCGAGTGCATCTTAGTGCAACGACGATTTGTGTAGGCCGCCTCTGATTCAATGCGAAAAATCAATAGGGCACGTTGATTCGGGGTAGAAAAAACCTCGCACAATTAACAACAATTATCATTGAACTCAACCAAAAGGTGTTCGCATACATACATATCAAAATTTAAGGAAGTGAGAGAGGCACAACTTACCATGCGAGCAACGCACAAACAAAGGGAGAGAGAAACTGTTGCGACTCTGTTTGGCAGTGAACTGCAGCTCGAGAGAATGAAAAAAAAAAATGGGAGAATAGATATGCAGTGGGAGAGAGAGATGTGTTCCAGCGTGAGGTTTTAGGTTTAACTTGGGCCTGAAGGATTTAGGGTTGCGGTAGGAGTGTTGGGCTAACTTGGGCCTTCGGCTGACTTGGGCCGAGATGCGAGTTCCTTTGCCAGTCAGTATCCCGGGAATTCTAAACGGGATAAAAACGGGATATTCTCGCTAAAAAACGGGAAACTGGAAAAATGGGAGGGAAACACCCCAAACTGTTTTCGGTCCCGTTACCGTTTTTATCCGTCCCGTTCCTGGTAAAAAACCAGAAATACGAAAACGAGCGGGTCAAATATGGGAAAGGTTGCGGGACGGTTCCGGATTTTCCCGTCCTGTTTTCATCCCTAGATATGAGCCAAGCCCAACTTGAGCCCACAAAGGTACACTCCCCTCATAAAAGGGGAAACTAAGGCACCTCATTCTCTCATCCTCTATTCATTTCATTACTACACTTTCTCTCTCTTGACCTGAGCACTGACTTAAGCATCAGAGGCCCGACGCCGGGGCCACCCCCGGCGTTGGGTTCTGCAGGTGCGGAGGCCGTTCGAGTTGAAGGAGCCTGGGGTAAAATCTATTCACTTCATTGGCGCCGTCTGTGGGGACCCGTTAAAAAAGTCAAGCAGAGTTCCGACAGGAAAATATTTGGAAAACATCCTTCTTCTCCACCGGCCGCCGCCGGCCGCCAGAAAACATGCTCCGATCAAAAAATCGTTTACATCATTGGAAAGATCTCTTCGAGGTGAATCTCTCCATAAAATTTCATGCAAAAATTCCTCCGGGAAGGCCGTCAATTTTGCGGTAAAAGTTTCCAGATCTAGCAAAAGTTTGGTCAAAATCGAGCATTCAAATGCATTTTCTAGGCGATCCGTGAGGGCTAAGAAAAATCCAAGGGTACCACCGGAATCCTATCGACGAGACGAATCTCCAGCTACCGATCTTCGCCGGAAACCTCCACCCCCGCCGCCGGCCGCCGGCCAAAGTCGTTTGATCTGAAAAATCTGTACATCATTGCGGAGCTCTCTTCATGCTCGTTCTACCCTTAAAATTTGGAGTGAAAATTTTGTCGGGAGGACCGTCAATTTCGTGGTTAGAGTTCATGGATCTAGAAAGTGTTTGGTCAAAACCCGCAAGCTCAAGTGGCAGAGTCAACCATCAGGCTAAGTCATTGACTTGGTTGAGAGTCATAATAGAACTGATATAACCTGGCTGTAGCGTCTTCTCTTACCACGAAGCTCCTCACTTCCCGTGGGAACTACATTGAAATTGAGTAACTCTTAAAGATAAAACCTCCAAAGTTGCATCACTTCATTAGTCCTCCAAAGAAGACTTAGGTCATTACAATTCACGTGAAAAATTCTCGAAATCGATACGCATTTACACGCCAGGGACTTGGCAGCTGTGGCATGAATGGCTGTCCTGGCATGCAGCAACGCGGCACGCTACGTGCGGCACTCTACGCACGACACTTCCTACGACTCGTGATGCATCATCGAGCGTGGCACGCATGTGCGCAGCACCAGCACGCAGTACACCTACACCACCCATATCCAGTAGCTACGGTTCATTCCCTACCAACTGTTACATCGCCCCGTGTTGATACGTACACGAAAATTGAAAATCCCCAAGTGTTTTACGACCTTAATCTAAACTACAATATCCAAGTACTCCGACTTCGCGATCAGAGTACTCGTACCTCATCATGATTCAAGTGGCTGATTACTCACGATGTTTCTCACAACCCCTTGGCTATCCTCCTTAAAACACTTCTTCTATATCATAACATGGCTAGAACTTTATCGAAGCTCCTCCCGATTAGGTATGCGAAGACTTCCACGTATGATCCTCCGATATAACGATCGATATGCTCACAAAAAGGATGGTTGGTTTACGCCTATCTTCTAGGCCCAGGTATTACTCAAGAGTTGCAACATTATTCACTCTCTTGAACCTTTCGCATCGACTAAAAGGTGTCGCGAAACAAGACTCCTATTTACGAGAACAGATAACGATCAATAGAAAATTAAGACTTATAACCCATCAGAAAACTCATTCTACGTGAGGAAAGTAAAAACAAACGAAGTTCAAAATTATAGAAATTTAACAACCCAGAGGAGTCTCAAAACAAATTTAAACTTGTCTATCGAGACAAAGAGAATTAAACAAGGTCTGCTAAAAAGTACGAGAAATGTAATTCTAACTAAAGGAGGAACAAATAATTATCTCAATTCTGAAATTCCTTCAACTACTCAGCCTTGGTTCAGTTCGGCTTCATGCTGTGCCATTGTGTATACCGTGCTCGACCTCCTTCGTCAAACCTCAGTTGGGCCTGCTGATGCTAATGCTGGTGGACCTGTTGTTGAGGTGGCGGCGGGGGAAGCTGATGCAAATGCTATTGCTGGTTTGGTTGTTATCTCTGGGGTTCAGGGCACGCATAAGAGAAGTGCCCGGGGCGTTGGCAGTTGTAGTAGACTTTCTGAGCATACTAGCACTGTCCTCCATGTATACGGCCGTAGATAGGACACTTCTGGTTCGGGCCCTTATCGGCAGGGCGCTCATCACGTCGATCGTTTCCACCACGTTTTCCCTTTCGGTCATCTCGGTAGGAACCGGCCTTCCTCTTGCCCGAATTAGAACCAGACGAAATCGAAGAAATGGGCTGGGCATATTGAACGAAAGTCTGGGCAGGCTGGGAAGCATGGTAGTATAAGGGAACTGAAGCTATCAGATTAAGACAGCTCTCTACTTCTTGTGCCCGTAGCATAGTATCAACATATGACATCACTTCGTGACTCCTTACTAGTTCACGGATTCTCTGATTCAGCCCCTTCAGAAACATACGGGCCTTTTCCGCATCAGTGTTCACCATCTCACGATCAAAGATACTTATTCTAGTGAAATTGCGCATGTACTCGTCCACGCTGGCATTGCCCTGCTGAAGGTGCCAGAAATCGTGCTCCATACGATCACGGAAGATCTGTGGGATGAATTTTCTTCGGACACTATCCTTCATCTGGTTCCATGTAAGCGCATCACGCTCAGCCTCGGGCCTCAGAGCCCAATAGTCAATCCACGAGTTAGAAGCATCCGCCTTCATCTAAAAAGCGGCAAGCGAGACGCGCCGCTCATCAGAGAGGGGAAGTACATCAAAAATCTTGCCGAGCTCTTTTATCCATTCTAGCACCGCATTGGAGCTCTCGGTCCCCGAGAAGCTGGGTGGGTGCATGCCCTGGAATTGGATTATGAGCCTCAGAAAGTCATCAACATGAGGGGCCAACTGGTGTGGAGGGGATGGAGGCGAGATGGAGTTTGATAGTTGCGATTGTTACGACGAGTCATGATTCTACATTGAATAGGACGAAAATTTTAGCACAGTTTTATAAGGAATTCTAGAGTCCATCATTAAACACTACAGGTCGATTTAAACCAAGGTGGATAGATCCTAAGCCAAAAAAATAACAATACTCCTCACAAGTAGTTTCATTGCTACGTGTGTACAAATTCACG